GAGCGGTTTGGACGGTATGCAAACTGGAGCGGGTCAAGTGTGTTGGGGAGATTGGATTTGATATGGTGCATGACTAACCTCTCAAAGCACTTCATCATGATTGGGGTCAGTGCTATGGGACGATAGTCATTCAGACAGGACACAGGTGACTTCTTTGGTACTGGGGTGATGGTGGTGGACTTGAGACATGTGGGGACAACTGCTTGGCTTAGTGAGATGTTAAAGATGTCTGTTAAGACATCTGTCAGCTGTTCAGCACAGCCTCTCAGTACCCAGGCCTGGTATGTTGTCAGGACCTGCAGCCTTGTGTGGGTTAACCCTAGATAGGGTCTTCCTTACATCGACTGGAGACAGACAGAGCTCCTGGTCGTTGGGAGGTGTGGGCAGTTTTTGTGCAGGTTTGTCATTCTGCATTTCAAACCGTGCATAAAACTCATTGAGTGTATCTGGGAGGGATGTGTTGTCATCACAGGCCTGTGGCGGGGGCTTGTAGTCTGTGATGGTCTGAATAGCTTGCCACAGACTTGCTGTCAGTAAAGTGATTATTGATTTTTTGTGCATATACAACCATTTTGCTTTCTTAATGCCACGGGACAGGTTGGCTCTTGCTGTTTTGAGGGCTGCTTTATCTCCTGATCTGAATGCTTCATCTCTGGTCTTTAGCAGCCCACGAACCTCTGCTGTCATCCATGGCTTCTGGTTGGCACGTGTGGTGATGTTCTTGGTGACTGTCACATCATCAATGCACTTTTTGATGTAAGCAGTCACTGTTTCAGTGTACTCTTGCAGGTCCGTGTGGTCATGGTACACCCAAATTAAAGAAATAAACAAAACAGAACAAGCCTTATAACTAACCTCTAAACTAACTACCAAAATAAAGAAATATGAAAATAAAACCGGAATCTTCAGCGTATGCGACGCCCGAACTAAAACTCTCATAAACTACAAACAAAAATACAAGGGTGGCGTAACACTCACAATCCTAATCTAACAGAATACAAACTAACCTAATCAAGAAACAAAACAAGCAGTATTATAACAACGACCGACTAAGTATTCGAATCATCACAGAAAGGAAAATGTGATTGCCCTACACCGACCCTACCCCTAAACCTACCCCTTACAGGAAACTTTGTGCATTTTTAGTAGCTGGATACACCAACATGCATTCTTAACTTTAAACTTGACGTGTGGTCATGGTAGGTGACTGCCTCTTTAAACATATTCCAGTCCTGCAGTGCTGAGGTAGCATCATCTGGCCATACTGTGATCTGCTTTTGGACCGGTTTGGCAAGTTTGAGAAGTGGTCTGTATGCTGGTATTAGCATAACAGAGATGTGGTCTGAGTACCCGAGATGGGGGTGGGGTGCAGCTTTGTACGCATTTTTTTTTTTCAGTTGTGTAAAGTACACAAATAAACCACATATATCGTCTGAGTATGAATGCAAACTTTAAAAACAAAGATGAAAATGAATACATTATCAGGGAAATTCAGCAAAGAAATGCAAAAGATTGCAACGTTTCTGAACTGTGTGTTTAAGGATGTTGTAGATCTTTCTGGTCGTTGTCTGTTGACGTCTGTGACCAGCAGATGGAATCAGTGTGTGACGATTGAAGAGCTTCGAAACACTGAATCAACCAATCAAAGCAGTTGATTCAGTTCTGAGTTTAACTGAGTTCAGCCGAATCTCTCTCAGTCCAGAACCAAAGACTTTGAGTAACACAGATCATTTTCTGCTGTAGACACCAGAGATGGACACGCATCCAGATGAGGAAGAGGAGACTGATGGAGGACAGGTAGAGATCGGATTTGATTTTCATTTTTTATGAATGCATTATTTTACTCACTGTCAGTGCTATTATAATATGTTTAGCAGAAGTCGAAAAAGAAAGTGCGAGTTAAGTTTGTTCCTCACAGAGGGTTTGTCATCGGTTTATCCAGGGTGAGTCCTGACGCCTCTTCTGCTTCATTTCTATCAGTTTGAGCACTTGAGTTTGGTTTTTTAAAGACATATTCTTCTGTATATCTGCTAACAGGGTGACAAGACTAATAATGAAACCAAGGAGGGAATACCACATCTTAAGGTAGAACGATTTTCAGAATACAATATCATAATTTACCATTTACTGAATACAGTATGTACTGTATTTAAATAATAATAATAATATGTGAAATTTAATAAACATTTCTAACAGTAATGTGCTGCATTATTATCCCTTTGACGGTTTCATCTTATTTTTAACCCAATTTACTGTAAAAAATGTATGTTGTACTATCAAATATACTATAGGTTTTATTAATATTTCATTTTTATATTTTCCTTTTTTTCATTTTAGTAATATCACTGTGTGTTTTGGTTATTTTATCAGTTTTTGTTATATATATATATTAAGTTTAATGTTATTAATTTATTTATATTAGTACTTAAATTTAAACTACAAGTTCAGAACTTTTGCTTTGGCAACTAGCTGAAATAAAATACGTTTACAGTTTTTAAAAATATCTTATTTTATTTCAGTTAAAAATATGCGTTATGTATGAATGCAAACTTAAAAAGGCTAAAAAAAACAAATATGTTAAAAATGAATATATTATCATAACATTTCAGCGAAGAAATGCAAAACTGCGTATTTAAGGATAAACTTTATGCTTTTTATGTTTTTTTGTTTTTTTTGTTATGTATTAGATAATTGTATTTAAAAATAATAATAATATGTGAAATTGAATGCATTATACAGTCATAAACATTTCTAACAGTAATGTGCTGCATTATTATCACTTTGACGGTTTCATCTTATTTTTAAGCCAATTTACTGTAAAACTTTATTTTATACTATCAAATATATTATAGTTTTTATTAATATTTTGAATATTTTACATTTCATTTTTATATTTACCTTTTTCATTTTAGTAATATTGCTGTATGTTTTGGTTATTTTATCAGTTTTTGTTTATATATATAATTTGTGTTATTAATTTAGTTATTTTAGTACCTAAAGTTAAACTTAACGAAAATTAGAACTTTTGCTTTGGCAACTAGCGGAAATAAAATAAGTTTTTAATAAAATTTTTATTTTATTTAAATTAAACATATACGTTGTTTAAGTAATGAATGCAAACTTAAAAAGGCTAAAAAAACAAACAAATATATTAAAAATGAATATATTATCATAACATTTCAGCGAAGAAATGCAAAACTGCGTATTTAAGGATAAACTTTATGCTTTTTTTTATGTTATGTTATGTTTTAGATAATAACCCTGCTTTTGGAAGTTCAGTCTCACACAGCAAGCCAAGAAGGAGATGCTGTTGATGTATAATATCAGATGATTTTGTATTTCCAGTGTCATGAATGAATGAATGTTTTGTGGCATAATGCACATTTTTGGCAAACGCTGCCGTTCATGCTAACATCAGATGTGTGTGGCGTGTACAGTCTGCATGACATACACTAGAGCAGTGTGTTTCTGCACATTATTTACAGTGGATCTGTATTACAGGACAGAGCTGACGCCGAGCTGAAGGGAGCTTGTGGAGTCACTCCTCATCCACATCTCAAGGTTTGTCCGAGTCGTATGAACATCCCTGGAAACCTCTGCTTCAACTCTTATTTTTTAACATGATTAACCCCTGCTTTTAGGACGATGAGGGGTTTGGTGACCTGAAGGGAGCGTTTGGTTACGATCCTCACCAGTTCGAGGTAGAGCAGACGTCTACACGAGCGCATGAGCTCGAGATCTCTGTCTGTTCACTAATATCCTGTAATATTTCTGTTTCCAGGGAGACACATTACTGAAGTCTGAAGCCGGACGGAGTTGCTCACCGAACCATGTTCAGGTTCAGACTGTTTATTCTCAGAGAGTCTGATATTCTGCTCACTTCTGGCGAGATTACTGCTTATGTGACTCGGTTTTTTTTTTTTTTCAGAGTTCATATTCCAATGGCTTTATGAGTCCTCCAGCATGGGATTCAAAGGTAAGAAGCAGCACTAATTATTAAACATTCTGCCAAAAAAAAAAAACGAGCTTCAGAAACCCAAAGCAAGCAAGACTGTTGCTCATGCAAAGGGTTTTGATATATTCAGGCAGATCTGGAGACAGACGTCCTTAAAGCCTCGGATCTCTTCCCAGCGTCAGACGCCAGTGAGAGACATCAGGTGAGGAATCAGAACGCTCTTATGATCGCCGAGACATTTTCATTGCATTTGAACTTGTTTTTCTCCACTGTTTGTACAGAAGAAATCAAAAAAGTTTAAAGTCCCTCGCCTGCATCGCAGACAGTCAAAGGTAAAAACCATCAAACTTAGAGCTTTATTAATATTTTTAATATATTCCATTTTAATTGTAAAGTTTTAGTAATTGTGTTGTGTGTTTTTGTCATTTTATTAGCAAATGTATTTTGTTATTATTAACTTCTTAGTTTTTTAATATAATATTTTTTACTAATATTTCTATATCTTCAATTTTTTTTTTTTTTTTTAGTTGAAGTTTTAGTGATTTTGTTGTGTTATTTAGTAATTTTGTTGTGTTTTATGTTGTTTTTATTTTAATATTAATATACATTTATATTAAAATATATAATAATATTTTATAATACTATAAAGCTTGTTCATTTTATATTTCACTTTGAGTTTTGCTACTTCAAGCTAAACTCAACGAAAATGAGAAATTTTGTTCACTGAAATATTTGTATATTTTATTTCAGTTAACATTTAGTTTCTTTCAAGTAATGCATATTGTATTTAGTCTGCATGATTTTGGTTTATTTAAAATGTTCTGAGCATTTATTGAATATTGAATGATCTACAATAGCAATAACTGGTACTTTGCACTTTAAAGAGCAGCTGAATCAAACGCAGTGTTCACATCAGTGACATGTTCGTGTTTTCTAGAGTTGTGAAGATCCTGAGATCAAGCAGAGCAAAGATCGTGACGCTTCAGAGGTGAACAAACCTCTCATTTTACTTCCTCACGATTCAAATACTTGTCCATTTTTCATGTGGTCTTATTTATTTATTTTTTTATCTTATTTTTTCAATTATTTTATTTCCCTTTTGGTTTTGTTTCTTTAACTTCCAAATATTATATTTAATGTTTACTGTCTGCATTGAATAAAAAATGTGTAGAAACAATTTTCATTCAGTATTTATTTATTAGATTTTTTTTTCAATTTGTTTTCTTTAATTTCCAAATCGTGTGTATTATATTTAATGTTTACTGTCTGCACTGAAAAGAAAATAGTGTAGAAACAATTTTCATTGAGTATTTATTTATTTATCTTAATTTAATAATTAAATAAAAAAATAAAAAAAATTATAATTTCCAAATTGTGTGTATTATATGTAATGTTTACTATCTGCACTGAAAACAATTAATGGAACAATTTTCACTTGGAAATTGCTAGTAAATTTCACAAATAATTACAAAGAAATGGAAATTAACACATTGAATTAAATGTGACATTTTAAAGGACTGAAATAGTATTTCCTTGTAAAATATAACCCAATAATTAAAAAAAAATAATAATGTTTGTAACTGTCTGGCCTCATGTACTTCTATTAAGAGTGTTTTACTCTATGGGATTTGTTTGTTTGTTTAAAATCAGTAAAAAAGTCAACATTATTTTTCATTTGTATTTAGTTTTCGGACAGTGTGTATTTTATTTCATGTTTACTGTCTGGCCTCATGCACTTCCATTATTAGTTTGCTACTGTATGAGGTTTTAATTAATTGATTTATTTGTAAATGTGGTAACGTTATGCCACAAATGCAGCTTAATTGTTTTCCAACTGTTCTGCAGATGAAGAGGCCTCCTCTTCTTCAAGTGCCGCCGCTGTCGCATCGAGACTCAAAGGTGAGAGACTGACGTTCTTCTGAACTTTCAGATTTGGATGAAATTGTTGCTGATGTCTGATATCTCTAGAGCTTTGAAGATGGCGAGCTCCCTCAGAAGGGTGCAGATCTGTTCAGAGCAGGAGACGAGGAATATACGCCGGTAACTTCATCATTTCATCTTCATGCTTCTGATGTGGTTCACACAGACACGTTTAACACTGGTTATCCTCTCACGCAGGACAATAAACCACAGAAATCTAGAGAGACTGACGCGCATCACAGAGGGTCAAAGGTAACTGTGTGCTCATCTTAATCGACTCGTTCACAGCGTCTTCATCTCGTATAATCTGTTCACCTGCTTCTCTCAGACTCAAGACATAAAGGAGTTTCCTGAAGACTTTCTGGACCCTCCAGGAGCCGTGTCTGGAGGTTTCCACCTGTCTGATGCTGCTGAGGTAGATATCATGTTCATTTTTGCACTGATTTATTTATACACTGCCAGTAAAAATTCTGAAATATTATTCTAATGTAAAACAGCTGTATTCTATTTGAATATCTGTTAAACCGTAATTTATTTCTGTGATCAAAGCTGTATTTTCAGCATCATTACACGCATGATCTTCAGAAATCATTCTAATATGCTGCTTTGCTGCTCGAGAAACATGTCTGATTATTATCAATGTTGAAATGCACAATATTTCTGTGGAAACCGTGATACTTTTTGTTTTCCATGATGCACAGATGAATAGAAAGTTCAAAAGAACAGCATTTATTTGAAATAGAAATATGCTGTAACATTATAAATGTCACTTTTGATCAAATTTAATGCGTCCTTAATGAATAAAAGTATGAATTTCTTGAAAATCTGCAAGGCTCAGATGGACATGAGACGACTGAAAGATGGAGAGGAAGAGCAGAAGCAGGAGGAAGATGATGATGAAGGGGTCAGTCAGCCCAAACACTAACCGTCCTTCCTTATCATCTTTACTTTATTCCATTCATTATGTCTATAGATTCTGTTCATACCGCAGTAAATATATTTGTAATGCCGTTCATTTTCTCCTGATGTGATTTAGATTCTTAAATGTGTGTTTTATTGGCAGGACACTGACAGTCTGATGGAGTGGTGGAATACAGCGGCGTGTGAGTTCATTCATTCATTCATTCATTCATTCAGCACACACACATCAGATCTGACTCGTTTAACATCCAGTCTTTGTGTTTTTAGTTTGGGATGAAATGCCTCCTAATGAGACGATCAGCACTAAAGAAGAAGAGACCATGTAAGACTTCATTTAATGATCGTCACGCTGCAAAAAGGATGTTGTTCTTCACTATTTTTTGTCTGGTTTTCCATTTTATCATTGATTGATTGATTGATTGATTGATTGCATAGTGGAAAGTGTCTCTACACTGCAAAAATGATTATAGGTTTTGCTTTCCAGTTCAAATATCTGAACATTTTTAAATCAATGTACATTTAGTAGAGCAAATTTGACTTAAGATATTAAGTCTGATTTTCTGAAGAAAAAAAAAATTTTCAAAATGTTTTTTTTTCTTTCTTAAAACAGTAAAAAAAAAAAAAAAAACTGCCAATGGGGTCAGAAAAATGACAAAACAATATTATGTTTCTGACCCAATTAGGTATTTTTTAATTTCAAGCTAAAATTCACTTAATTTTGATCTTTTTTTTTTTCAGAAAATAGAACATTCTCAAGTAAATGTATCTTGATTTAAGAATGTAAAGTGTGCAACATACATTTACTTGAGAAGCAAAATTACTAAGATTACTAAGAAGTCTTGTTTTCTGAGAAATTGACAAATTTATTAGAAAATTTGATAATTTTTACATTTTACATTTTATGCTTAACATGTAAACTGGCAATGAGGTCAGAAAAATTCAATAATTCAAAGGGAAAATTAAAAAAATAAATAAAAAAATGAGAAAATTAAATTTTCTCATTTATTTATTTTATTATTATTATTATTATTATTATTATTATATATATATATTTTTTTACAAATAATTAGATTTTTGATTTTCAAAAACACTGCATTGAAAAATAGCAGCAAATTTG